GTGTAGGAAGTATGAAGGCAAGTCAAGAATGAACAAAAGGACTTAAGAAGAGTGAAGGCTCAACTCAGCCTTCAGGGCAATCCAAGAGATCGGTGATTCTCCGTAGTGCAGGTGGCATAGAAGAACAAAGAAACGAGGGGGGTCTGCAGGGTCAAAGGACAGGGGTGAAGTTATAAAAAGGAAGAAAGAAGTGAGCATCTGGAAAAGAGAAACATGAAATCCTGAGATGGAAACCTGAACAAGAAACAAGAGCAGGCATAAATACTGATAATCCCTACAAGCCTTAAGCATTCGGTTACCTGTTCATCACAATCAGATTCCAAGAAGGTCATGTCTTTTCGTAAACAGTTGTCAAATCCATGCTCGTCACTTTCATTAAGACATTCACAGCCAGCTTTGTTAATAAAAGGCATTAAATCCATCTGAAAAAAATTAAACCAAGACTTTAGGCAAAGCATTTGGATTTGGTATAAAAATCTTAATAAGAAATGTAAATATGTGATTCTTTTTTTTATTGTACAATATTATGTTTCCGGGGTACAACACAGTGATCAACAATTTTTAAAGGTTATATTCCATTTATAGTTACTATAAGATACTGACTATTCCCTATGTTGTACAATACATCCTTGTATGTGATTCTTTTTTTTCTAAACTTTTTATTTTACACTGGAGTGACTCTCTCTTGATTAAGCAATTTTAAAGAAAACTTATATCTCATTTTAAATAGTTACTAAAACTTTTATAATAACCTTTTCATTTGAACTTCTAACTGACATCTATCACTAATAATTAAAGCCAAATTTAGGCTTAGCCCACTTAATAAGAATCCAAAATCAAGTCTTTAACACAAAGATTATTAAATGTTGACTTATACATGTTTTAATAGCAGTGTTTTGAAGTGGAAAATATACAAATTAAAGTATCTACAAAATATCCAAAGAAAGCCTACCTCCCTCTTCTAGTAATCATGCACTCTTTAAACCTATATCCGTGAAGAGTTTAAAGATGAATAGCAAATAGCTATTTAAAAATTTTTATCATGGAAAATTCCAAACATACACAAATAGACTAATACAGTGAACCTCAGGTATCCACCTCCCAGCTACAATAATCATCAACTCATGCCCACTCTTATCTCACCTTTACCCTGTAACCATTCCCAACCTTTCTCCCAATTATTTTCAAGTAAATTTTAGACATTTTTTTCATTTCATTCATGAACATTTCAGTGTGTTCATGAGATAAGTACTCAAAAAAAATCCTCAGTATCATTATCACAACTAAAACAATGAATAATATTTTAATATCATCAATATCAATGTTCAAATTTCTTCAACTGTCTCATAAATGTTTTACAGTTGAAATTACTTAGTCTCAGAATAAGAATCCAAGAAAAGTACAAATACCGTATTTGGTTAATGTCTCTTAAATCTCTCTTTTTTTTTTTTTTTTTTTTTTTGCGGTACACGGGCCTTTCACTGTTGTGGCCTCTCCCGTTGCGGAGCACAGGCTCCGGACGCGCAGGCTCAGCAGCCATGGCTCACGGGCCCAGCCGCTCCGCGGCATGTGGGATCTTCCCGGACTGGGGCACGAACCCTTGTCCCCTGCATCGGCAGGCGGATTCTCAACCACTGCACCACCAGGGAAGCCCTTAAATCTCTTTTAATCTATAGTCATTTAGCCTATAGATTTCTCATATTCTGGATTTTGCTGAGTGCTTCCCTGTGGTGTCATTTAACATTTTCCTGTATATGTTTTGGCTAATACTTTCAACACAACGCCATAGAGTTGCAGTGACAGTGGTCATCCCTGTCTTGTTTCTGACTTCAGTGGGAATGCCTCCAGTGCTTCCCCATTAAAATTTTATTGAACACTTTAGGAATAAATAGATATTGCATTCTGTCAAATGCTTTTTCCCCATATTAGGAAATCATGATTTTTCTCCTCTAGATTGCTGAATTTTGTTTACTAATATTTTATTTAAGATTTGTACACCAATATTCCTAACTGGAACTGGTTTGTAGCTTTCTTTTTTGCTGCAAACTTTGTCAGATTCTGGGATCAATGTCATAAATTACTTCAAAATGAAACTTTTAAGTTTTCTCTCTTTTTATACGGTCTTGAGTAGCTGCAGTTAACACAAGACTACCTGATCTTTAGAGATTTGGTAGAATTTCCCTGTGAAGTCATCTTGGTATTTATGTAAGAGCTCTTTTACTATTTTCTCTACTTCCTCAATGGTGATTGGTCTATTTAGGAGTTCTGCTTCTAGTGGAGTTGATTTTGATACTATTTTTCTAGAAAAGTATCCATTTCACCTACTAAACAAAAACTGTTTTTAAAGTTTACCAAGTAATTTAAAAAAAATAAAAAGTAAAAAAATAAAGATTACCAAGTATTCTAAGTTATCAGTTACATGTTCACCATTCTATCAGTCTTTATTACGAATACTAATACACATACTAATACATGTGTATATAGTTTTGAAAGACTAAAGAAAACTTTACATTTCAAATAATTATCAATATGGTAATAATCCATTAGAATATACCCTTAATTATTCATAGACTAGCCTAAATGCTTCCAAAGCCAAAATATTCTTTTCTATTATATCAAATGTTACATTGCATTAGATGTTAAATGTATTACTCAGGGTAACATAATGTAGCCAATTCAAAAAGGGAGGCCGGAAGAAAAGGAGCACTACACAGCTAAGTTCTACTACTACAGAATTATTCTGAACTTCTTGAACATTTGCCTTGAAAATGTGACAAAAGCTTTCAATCATTTGTCTACCATCCTACCGAGATGCCTCTTCCATACTATATGCAGGATCAAGACCCCAGGCTTGAAGACAACATTGCAGTCGTACTTCCAATACCTTAATGATGAAAATAAACTAAATAGGTAAATAATTTAAAATCGCTTTTTAATTTATCATGGGGCACACAAAACAAGTATCATATTTGAACAGTTGCATTAAAGTGCTCTGTTTTACAACACTGTCTGGGACAAACTGGCATAATATTGTATACTTGACATAACTGTAAACTGACATATTTGGAAAATATGTAATTGGAAATAAGTATCACTACTTATGCAATCAACTTGCCAATAATGAGGAAAGAATCATGAGAACACAATCAGACAAATCCAGACTGTGGGACACTGTGTAAGACAAATGGTCCAGACCTGCACTGTACAATGAGATAGCCATTAGCCACATGTGTAAATTTAAAACTAAATCAATTAAAAATAGATAAAACTAAAAATTCAGTTCCTCAGTTGCCCTAGTCACATAAAAAATGCCACATGTGCCCAGTGGCTACTACAGTAGACTGGCGTTGTTTTAAACTTTAAAAAAAGGCAGTCATGGGACTCCCCTGGAGGTCCAGTGGTTGGGACTCTGCGCTTCCAATACAGGGGGCTCAGGTTCGATCCCTGGTCAGGGAACTAGAATCCCACATGCTGCATGGCACAGACAAATTAAAAGGCAGTCATGAAAGAAAAAAGGCAGAGAGAAGTTTCTAGACTAAAGAACACTAAAGAGGTTGACAACTTAAATGCAATGCATGACCCTTGATTTGATCCAAGATTGGGGAAAAACAGCTATAAAGTATATTTTGGAGATATATTAAGGAAATCTGAATATAGGCTGTACATTAGGGATAGATATCATATCAATGTTAAATTTCTTAGAAGTGATAATGGTAACATGGCTATATAAAAGAACGTCCTTGTTCTTAGGAACTCCATGATGAAATATTTACAGATGAACCATCTGGATGCCTATAACTTACTCTGTAAATGATGGTGCAAAATATAAAAGCAGATAAATACATATCAAGATAGAACAAAAACAGGGAAATATTCACAACTGATGAACACAGGTGAATGACACGCATGGTTATAACACTACTCTGTCAACTAGATTTTTTGTTTGCTTGAACAGATTTCACCTTTGCGGGGAGGAGGTGAGTGGAATCCAACATGAGACACACAGGAAGTTATAAAGTTTTTGGTTAAAGAAAGATTTGTCCTACTTACTACATAAATTAGGGACATTTAATGTTTATTTTGATGAATGTGACATATTTGTAGACCAAAACCTACAGGTCAGAGGTTGGAACACTGAAATACACTAATAAGCCTCAAGATTTAGAACACATGTAAATACAAGTTTGATTCCAGAGTGCCTAGCCTGCAAACTTCTAGAGAGGAAGACTTGATATTGATAGCCCCCTCATGCGATTTGAAGCCATACTAGGTACTCTTACAAAATATGGGATTGTAAAGCAATTATACTCCAATAAAGATATCTTTAAAAAAATAAATTATGGGGGCTTCCCTGGTGGCGCGGTGGTTGAGAGTCCGCCTGCCGATGCAGGGGACATGGGTTCGTTCCCGGTCTGGGAAGATCCCACATGCCGCAGAGCGGCTGGGCCCGTGAGCCATGGCCACTGGGCCTGTGCGTCCGGAGCCTGTGCTCCACAGCAGGAGAGGCCACAACAGTGGGAGGCCTGCGTACCGCAAAAAAATAAAAATAAAAATAAATAAACAAATAAATAAATAAATTATGGGATAGGAGGGGTGGGAGGGAGATGCAAGAGGGGGGGAGATATGGGGATATATGTATATGTATAGCTGATTCACTTTGTTATAAAGCAGAAACTAACATACCATTGTAAAGCAATTATACTCTAGTAAAGGTGTTAAAAAAATAAAATAAAATTTTAAAAATAATAAGTAAATTAAAAAAGAAAAAGAAAGTAGGGGAGAGAAAAAATAGACTGTTTAAAACTTTCCCAACTTCTAAAGAGATACTTGGGGCAGGGACTTTTTTTTTCTTTCTGGCTGCGTTGGGTCTTTGTTGTGGCATGTGGGATCTTTTTTGTTGTTGTGGCACATGGGCTTCTCTCTAGTTGTGGTGTGAGGGCTCCAGAGCACGCAGGCTCTCTGGTTGAGGCACACGGGCTCAGTAGTTGTGGCGCTCAGGCTTAGCTGCTCTGCAGCATGTGGGGTCTCAGTTCCGAACCAGATACCGAGCCCGCGTCCCCTGCATTGGAAAGTGGATTCTTTACCACTGGACGACCAGGGAAGTCCCAGGGCGGGGAATTTATAGCACTAAATGCCTATATTAGGCAAGAAAAAAGGTCTCAAATTCAACCTTAAGAAACTAGAAAGAGAAGAGCAAATTAAACCCAAAGTAAACAGAGAAAAGAAAATAATAAACATCAAAGCAATGAAATGAAAAACAGAAAAACGATAGAGAAACTCAATGAAATCAAAAGCTGGTTCTCTGACAAGATCAGTGAGTTAAGAAACATCTAGCCAGAGTGGTCAAGACAAAAAAAATCCCAATACTAGTAGAGGTGACAGTACTACACTTTCTTTAGATATTAAAAAAATGAGAGAATATTATGAACAATTTTTTGCACATAAGTTCAACAACACAAGTGAAATGGACAAATCCCTTGAAAGACACAAACCACCAAAGCTCACTCAAGAAGAAATAGACAACTGGATTAATTGTTTACCTATTTTTAAAAATTAAATTTGTAGTTAAAAATCTTCCCACAGGGCTCCCCTGGTGGTGCAGTGGTTGAGGGTTTGCCTGCTGATGCAGGGGATGTGTGTTCGTGCCCCGGTCCGGGAGGATCCCACCTGCCGCGGAGCAGCTGGGCCCGTGAGCCATGGCCGCTGAGCCTGCGCGTCCGGAGCCTGTGCTCCGTGACGGGAGAGGCCACAACAGCGAGAGGCCCACGTACCGCAAAAACAAACAAACAAAAGAAAAACAAACAAAAAAATCTTCCCACAAAGAAAACTCCAGGTACAGCTGGCTTTACTATTAAATTCTAACAAATACTATAGGAAGAAATAGTACCCATTCTACACAAACTCTTTCAGAAAATTGAAGAGGAGAGAATATTTACTAATTTAATGACACCAGCATTACCCTGATACCAAAACATACAAGAAAGGAAACTACAGACCAATGTCCCTCATATATATAGAGGCAAATATTTTAAACAAAATTTTAGCAAACCTAATTCAACAATATATTAAAAGGATAATGCATCATAGTCAAGAGTAGCTAGAGTATGCTAGGTTATGGTAGGTTGGTTTAACATGCAGAAGTCACTCAATGTAATTCACCATGTTAAGAAACAAAATGTTGAAACATGATCATCTCAATGGACACAGAAAAAAATATTTGCAAGAATCTAATATCCATTTCTGATTTTAAAAAATTCTCAACAAATTAGGAATAGAAGAGAATTTCTTCAACCTGATAAAAGGCACATATGAAAAACTTCCAGCTAACATCATACTTAATAGTGAAAGACTGCATGCTTTCCCCCTAAGATGAGGAACGAGTCAAGGATGTCTGCTTTCAATACTACTGTGGAATAAGTCACTATAGTAAGATAAGAGAAATAAATAAAAGACAACAGGATTGGGAAAACAAAATTTTTCCGAACTTCAATAAACATATTAAAAACTCAAAGTCATGATGTTTACAAAACACTGTATTACTTCCGATTTTTGATTCTTAACCTTTTCAGTAACATACCCTACATCTTTTGTAATATCTCAAACCCCCCTAAAAGAGATATTTCTTTCTTTCACTCTGGCTCCAGTCAAATCAGGAGTTTCAAAACTATAGGATGTGTGAAATCAATAATTATATAGCCTTTTAGCATTTAAACGTAATGAGAGAAAGTCTTTATTCTAAGAAACCTAAAATTTTATTTTAAAATTGTCAATACATTTTTGTAATACTTATATTTAAATCTACTTTAAGATACAGGTTTTCATTCAGTTTCCATTTGTGTTGTGAAAACAATGCCGTTCTTGGGAACGGTTTTAAATATTTAATGACCCTATAAGACCTATAGTTCAAAACTTTTAAAGTCTTCATTGACACCTGATGGAAAAAAATGAAAATGTTTTTAACAGCTTTTTACTTTGTATTCATAACATCTGGATGAAATTAAATGTCTTATTTCCTAAAACTTCATTTTTCCCTGCTTATTTCCTATCCAAAGCCAAAACCCTGATATCACACTTAGCTGATGTAAAGTATCACTGCAGCTAAGCAGCCAAGACTGTTGTGCCCATAAGACTTTTTCATGCAAAAACCCTTACTAATAAAGGAAAAAAATACAAAGAAGTAAACACAACTGTTTACAAGTCAAATGATTTCCAAAATTTTCCAAAAGGTGTCATAACCCTGACTTACACATGTTCATACTTTCTAACTGAATATTACCATTTCAAATTATCATATAACAGTTCTATTTTAAATAAATATTAATTATTAAGTCCTTAACTTAAAGTAATTAATGCCACTACCACATGTTAAAGACACTTTCTGAAGACACAACTCCTCCTCCACCCATACACACAAAAAGAATCTCTCATATATACCTGACTACAGGTTCTCCTTATTCAACATGAATTTAAGGGCCTTACATAATGACTGGTAGCTCCATGGCAAGCCTGTTTTAATGTACTTGGTGGACTTCCCTGGTGGTCCAATAGTTAAGAATCCTCCTTCCAATGCAGGGGACACAAGTTTGATCCCTGGTCAGGGAACTAAGATCCCACATGCCATGGGGCAACTAAGCCCGCGCATCACAACTACTGAGCCCGCAAGCTCTAGAGCCCGTGCACCACAACTAGAGAACTCACGTGCTGCAACTACTGAGCCTGCACACTCTGGAGCCTGCACACCACAGCTAGAGCCCACATGCTGCAACTTCTGAGCCCACACGTTCTAGAGCCCACGCGCCACAACTAGAGAGAAGCCCTCACACCACAACGAAGAGGCCGTGTACTGCAACGAAAGATTCCGCATGCCGCAACTAAGACCTGACTCAGCCAAATTAATTAATTAATTAATTAATTTAAAAAATTTTAAATGTACTTGGTACACATGCTTTCATATACTAGCTTTAACTTGAGGTAACACTTTTTTAAAAAAAATTCATTTTTAATCTGCCAACACAATAACTTTATAACAAGCAAAATTTTAAAATATATATACAAATATTATTTTGGTAGGCAGGTTTTACCAATTTGCATAAACAAGTCAGCTACCATGAAGTGCTACTTCTGAATTTTACTTCCTTCCTGAATAGCTCTCATATGATAGACACAAATTATGACTATTCATATTATACAGTTTTCAACAACTTTGACATTCTTAAGTCTTCAAGTTATTACTTAGAATAATAACTCTTAAAACTTTGAAAAACATATCCAATACTAAAGTCACATTTGGTTTTAAAACAAAATCAATAACTAGGGTTTTTAAATAGATACATTTAAAAAGAGAGAGAAAACTTTAGAAACCAGCAGAAAAGGGAGTTCAGTATGTAATGGTCATACACTAAAATTTACATGCCATTTTACACAATTGTCAAAAAGTGAAAAATTTTTCCAATGAAAATTTTTTCACTTTGGGAGGGAAAAAAAGTAAAAAACAAACGTTTAAAAATGGTTATTGGGACTTCCCTGGTGGCACAGTGGTTAAGAATCCGCCTGCCAATGCAGGGGACACAGGTTCGAGCCCTGGTCCGGGAAGATCCCACACGCCGTGGCGCAACTAAGCCCGTGCGCCACAACTCCTGAGCCTGCGCTCTAGAGCCTGTGAGCGACAACTACTGAGCCCACATGCCACAACTACTGAAGCCTGCGCACCTAGAGTCCCTGCTCCACAACAAGAGAAGCCACTGCAATGAGAAGCCCGTGCACCGCAACGAAGAAGAGCCCCCGCTCAACTAGAGAAAGCTCGCGCAGCAACAAAGACCCAACGCAGCCAAAAATAAAATAAAACAAAAATAATTTTTTTTAAATGGCTATTAAAATAGTTCAGAAAGCAGATTAAAAACCAAGTGGCAGGGCTTCCCTGGTGGCACAGTGGTTGAGAGTCCACCTGCAGATGCAGGGGACACAGGTTCGTGCCCCGGTCCGGGAGGATCCCACATGCTGTGGAGCGGCTGGGCCCGTGAGCCGTGGCCGCTGGCCTGCACGTCCGGAGCCTGTGCTCCGCAGCAGGAGAGGCCACAATGGTGAGAGGCCCGCGTACCACACACACACAAAAAATAAATAAAAATAAAAAATAGTTTATGATGGGGGCTTAAGGTTATAATACACACAACACAGACAAAATCCAATAGTCAGCTATTACATTTACTTTTAAAGTTCTTAACTGAAAGTATTCTTAACTAGCAAAAGACAAAACATGAAAACAGTGAACTTCACTTCAACCAAATAATGACAAATGCAAGATATATCATGATTTCACTTTTAATTCTACATACATAGCCTTTTGGAATATCTGTGTCCTCGTTGCTTCCAGGGTCATTTTCCAAGTGCTGCTTGATCTTTTCCTCCAGTCCCACAGCATCTGCTCCTTGATATTGATCAATTCTCACTTTGTTTCGAAAAAATAGAAATGTAGGTGTTGCTGATATATTGTTGGTGGCAGCTGTTCCCTAGAATTGTCAAGTTAGATAGCATTATGAATTAAAACTAATCTTAAACCACTCTGAATATTCACTCTACATCTCTATGGAAGTTAAGTATCACAAGCATGAACTAAAAACATGTAAAATAACTTACTCCTAATTGTTACTTAAGAAAAAACAGGCCTATTCTTAAGGGGCACAACTATATTACCCTTATGTCCGCAACAAAGAATAGCCCTGCAATTTTGTTTTAGTGTTAAGTGCTTCATCCAATAGAACAATCGGCTTCTAACACAGAAATTGCACTTCACAACACCAGACAGTTCTCTCATAAGTACAGACTGTTTCTCAAATGGAGAACCCCAGAAGGGTATTGAGATATGTCAACACAAACCACTGCTACTAGTAAAACGTACACATCTGAAAAAACAGTAGCCCATCTGTCCATGAAAAGGAGGTAACACCCTTTGCACTGCAATCCTCATCTAGTTCTACTCTTTTTTTTTTTTTCTTGCGGTACGCGGGCCTCTCACTGTTGTGGCCTCTCCCGTTGCGGAGCACAGGCTCCAGATGCGCAGGCTCAGTGGCCATGGCTCACGGGCCCAGCCGCTCCGCGGCATGTGGGATCCTCCCGGACTGGGGCACGAACCCGTGTCCTCTGCATCGGCAGGCGGACTCTCAACCACTGTGCCACCAGGGAAGCCCTAATTCTACTCTTAAAGAAATGACTTCTGGTCTTCCATCAAAAACACCACAACGGGTATCTTTTTAAATTCTGCTCCAACTCCACGAGATCATAATACTAGCTACCGAATGAAAATTAATCAGTCACTGATTCATTAAACTCATTAAACTCTTCATGAGAAGTGTAAAGAAAATAGTAAAATAAGTATGTCACCTTGCATATTCAAACACTAGGAAGAGGTACCGCTATATTGTTTTTTTAAAAAAAGCATAAAGTTTACAGGAATGTCTTCTCTAAGCCTCATAAAAAAAAAATGACCTTTTAGAACAGTGCTGTCCAAAAGAAATATAATACAAGATACAAATGTGAGCTACACATGTAATTTTAAATATTCTAGTATCCACAAGAAAAAAGTAAAGAGAAACAACTGAAATCCATTTTAATAATTTATTTTAGTAAATCCAAATATGCAATTCAACATATAGTCAATGTAAAAAGTTAATGACATACTTTACATATTTTCTTTCATACTAAGCCTTCAAAATCCTGTGTATTTTACAGCACATCTCAATTTGGACTTGCCACACTTCAAGTACTCAGTACCCAACCGCATGTGGTTACTGTACAGGACCACACAGCTCCAGAAGACAGCACTTCCAGATCAGAGACAGTGAATACTTAAAATAAGGCAAAATAAGGCCAGGGCTGCTGTCCAGAAGTATGCGATATAAGTACTAAACAATAAACATGTAACATAGAGTTTGCACCAAATCCCCAAAATACTTATCTGCAAGCTATGTAACATTCTAAGATTTTTTTCCAACCCAGAAATGTATCAAAGACAAAAGCTTCACTGGAAAAAAAAAAAAAGTTACAGAGCTGTTATTTATGTATGTCAAAAGACTACATTTTTAGTGTTGGAAGAAACCTTCAAAAAATTTTTTTCTCTAACGATTCCTCCATACTTCTAGATAGGCAAATGCAGAACTGTCACACAGCCATGCTGACTAAGTAACCAGGGCAATCTACCTACAACACTGTGGCTCAATCAACAGTAACCAACACTTTAAACTTTCTGCTGAGTATGCAGCTTTGGAGCTAGGGTTATAAACAAACTATATCCAAGAATTCTCTGCCATGGCTTTCTAATCAACCAATGTGTCTGTAGTATAAGATATAATTTTAGATTTACAAAAAAATAAACAAAGAAATGTAAAACACAGAACTGCCAGGTGACCTATTAAGTTTAACAACATAATATTAGTTTTGTACCAGAAAAATATTATTAGCAAACCCAGAAGCAATTAATATTGGACTACCCTTCTTAACTAATGCAGCCATAACAACATTTGTAATAATTACATTAACATAATATTATCCTATCTTCAAAAAAATAAGTACTTAGTGCATAAAGAGATAAAGGATGAAATTAATGTTGAATTTCAAATCAATTTGTAAATAAAAAGACATTATTTTAAGGACTCTTTGCCTTACCTGACACTGATGTACATCTACTTCCAAGAATACTGCTTGTGGATACTTATTACTCATAGAACTGAATGCTGGGGCAATCCTTAAACACGGTCCACACCTGTGAGAAAAGTTAAGCGATGCTTGGTAAAATAACACCCAAGATTGTACTAATTTATACTCTAAAGATCTTGTCAATTAAAACACAGAATTAAAAACATTCTAATCAACCTGTCTTTAGACTTTCTTGTCTTTTCCACTGTACTATTTAGATACACTTGCATCAGTACCACACTGTCTTAATGACTACAGATTTATATTGTCTTTAAGTCTAACAGTGTTGTCTTCCAGCTTTCTTCTCACTGAACGAAATTAAAGATCTAAATAAATGGAGGAATGTACTATACCTATGAACTGGAAAACTCAACACTCAAGTTGTCAAGTCTCCTCAATTTGATCTTTAAAGTCAATGTAAAATTCCAAGTTTTGCTTAGAAAAATTAACAAATTTAAATTCTAAAATTTATAGGGGAATAAATATCAAGGATAGCCCAAGCATTTCGGGGTTCAAAGCTGAAGAAATTACATTACTAGATATTAACAACTACCAAAAAGCTTTATAAAATTGAGTATAAAGGATAAACAAACTCACCAATTTTAAAAGAAAAGGGTCCAAAAACAGACCCATCCCATACACAGTAACCGAACTTCTGAAAAAGTTGACACAGCAGTACAGTGGGGAAAGGATGGTCTTTTCAATAACAGTGCTGAGTCAATATGGATATCCACATGGGGGGGGGAATGAATCTTTACCCCTAACTCACACTGTACACAAAAACCAATTCCAGATGGATTATAGATCTAAATGGGAAAGGTAAAACAACAGTTTTAGGAAAAACAGAGGATACTTTCAAAACCTTGGAGTAAGCAAAGATTTATTTCTTAAAACACAAAAAGCACTAAAGAAAAAAGGAAAGAATTGATATGTTAGGATATACTTGATAAGCTGGAAAATATTAAGGTTAAGACCTTTTGTTCATCAAGATACCACTTAGAGGGTGAAAAGACAAACCACAGACTAGTAAAAAAATATCTGTAAAACATATCAAACGTAGGACTTATACCTCTAATATGTAAAAAAGCCCCTACAAATCAATAAGAAGACTGACATCCAAAAGAAAAAAGGGTACTCTCAAACTGGACAAATGAGGTTATCCAAACAGTCCCTAAAGAGAAAAAGACTTCCTTGGGGCTTCCCTGGTGGCGCAGTGGTTGAGTCTGCCCGACAATGCAGGGGACACGGGTTCAAGCCCTGGTCTGGGAAGATCCCACATGTGCGGAGCAACAAAGCCCGCGAGCCACAACTACTGAGCCTGCGCGTCTGGAGCCTGTGCTCCGCAACAAGAGAGGCCACAACAGTGAGAGGCCCGCGCACTGCGATGAAGAGTGGCCCCTGCTCACCGCAACTAGAGAAAGCCCTCGCACAGAAACGAAGACCCAACACAGCCAAAATTAAATAAATTAATTAATTAAAAAAAAAAAAAGACTTCCTTGGTCGCTATGGAAACCAGGGAAATGCAAATTTGGAGACACAAGAGGGAGGAGATATGGGGATATATGTATATGTATAACAGATTCACTTTGTTATAAAGCAGAAACTAACACACCATTGTAAAGCAATGATACTCCAATAAAGATGTTAAAAAAAGTTTTTTTAATTAAAAAAAATAAAACTACTCCCACCAAAACAGCTAAAACAATAGAGAAGGAAGTACTGTCAAGAACTTGGAGCAACTGACCTATTAGCGACAGTGCAAACTGGTATAACCGCTTCAGGTGGTAAGAAAAGAAACTGACAGTATCTGCTAATGCAAGATTTATGCCTACTTATGACCATTTCTAGGGTATATAAAACAGAAATGTCTGTATTTGTTTGCCTTAGGGTTTTTGGAAAAATATTGGTAGTAGCAATATTTCTAATGGCCAAAAACTGGATACCGCCTAAGTTCCTTTCAACAACAGAATAAGTAAACTAACTGTAGTTATTCACATACTGGAACACTATACAACAATGAAAATGACTGATGTAAAACCTCATGCCAAAATATGGATGAATCTCACAAATAACACTGAGAAGAGAAGTACACTATGATTCCATTTATGTACAGTTCAAATACAGGCAAAACAAATCAATGGTATTATAAATCAGGACAATGGTTACTTTTGTGAGAGTTAGTGACAGGATAAGGGCATGAGAGAGATTTCAAGAGGCTAGAAATGTTCTAATTGTCCAGAAGCTGATTAAACGTGCATGTATATTCAGTTTCTGTAAACTCTCTAAACTATACATTTATAATTGTATACTGTGTATATCTCAATAAAAGTTCCCAAAAATGAGAAAAACCTTGGCTTTAGCAGATAGGAACACAAGGAAAAGCAAGCTCTAAAATACAAGATTTTCAAATTCAAGCTATGATTCTCTCTCCATTCTTAACATTTTAATCAGCATTTTCACCGTTTGCCATCCTTAAGATTCATACCAAAAAGTTAAGAAAGTAACTCTTAATGTCTTAAATATTAAACGATGCTTCTGAAAGTAAATTTTTGGATCTAACAATGCTGAAATAGGCCCTGAGACTAAATTTTAAAGGAACAAACATTTACAGTCGACAAAACCTATGTTTAGTTTAGCATAATACTTCTGGTTATTAATAAGTCTTAAACACTACAGATGGGAGTACAAATTGGTAGAGCCTTTTTGAAGGGCCATTTGGTCATTATCTACCAATTTTAAATGAACACAACCCAAGATTCAACAATCTCACTTCTAAAAGTCAATCTTATCTTAACACTTACTCAATTTCACAATAATATGTATAAGGAAGTTCAATGCAATGTTTGAAATAGTAAAAATAATAATAATAATCTAAATGGCAATCAATAGAAAACTATTTTTTAAAGTTATAACATATAAAATAAGTTACAAGGATATATTGTACAACACAGGGAATATAGCCAATATTTTATAATAACTATAAATGGAGCATAACCTTTAAAAACTGTACATCACTATACTGTACACTTGTTAACTTATATAATACTGTACATCAACTATACTTCAATTAAAAAAATTATGACACATTCACACCAAAGGATAAGGATAATTTATACAGTTTAAAAGAAAACTAAGTCTCACGATAAAATATTTTCTATGACCACGTTAAAAATATGTATTTATATATGTATTTATATGTTATATATGTACATAAATATATATTGAAAAGTTAGGTGGGTCACACAATAAACAATTACTTCTGTAAAGTGGGACTAGAAAAGGAAGGGAGTTTAGGAGAGACTTTTAAAACTACCTATACTTCTGTATCCTTTGCTTTTATATGATAAACAGGTATTTTCATAAAATATTAAATTGCAAATAGAGAATTGAATGTTAACTGCATTTAAGCAGTAGTCATGGATGAAGCACAGGTATCATGCTGTACCACAAAATATACCTGGTATACACACAGTATCAGGTTTTCTCATTCCTGAAAAACCTTCTTTCTGCAAAAGCGTGCCTTCGAAAATAAGAAGGCTTATGGAAAAAATAAGATTGAGGTAAACCATTTAAACCCATGCAACTTTGTAAAAACATTCCTAAGAAAAACAGTAACTAGTATTCAGGAAATACCTGGACAGACAGGCAGGTGGTTCAGACCTAGAGGCTACACCTCAGAGGATATTTAAAATGTACAAAAACAAACGAGTGGAAGTGCCCGCTTACAGGTGCTGTGAGTATCCAGATGGAAGGGGAGCTCTGAGCCCACAGGGCTGCCATCCAGGCAGGGACAGGAGGAAGCAAGCACAACATGAGGATGACCCCCGCTGGGGACCAGGAGCTGGCTGCAGGAGCTCAGGTGTAATTTTATTAATTTTGACTTTCTTAAAAGGAACCTGAAAGGGAGCCTGCCTCTGTGGCTGAGGGCTTTTCTCCTTCCTGCTAAAGGTTCTATTTCTATTCCTGCTCTTCACTACCTAAGAAAAATAGAATATGAACCAACCTCACTCCACACTGTACTGACATAATCACTCTACTCATCAATCAAGTATGAGCTACCTGGAGTTAAAGAAACTCCTCTTGAAGCTAAAGAGACCGTACTAAAATAATGGCTACCTTGAAAATAGGTGTTCCCTTTCAAAATTTAACCTTATCTAGATCCTTTGTTTAATTTTAGTTAGCCATCATAGGTTGGAACTTTAGTTAAAAATCAAAATAAATCATAGAACACAGAAGCACAGATATACACAGCAGCATACTTTCACATTATAATCACTCAAATGAACTGATTTGTTATTTTAAGTAAGATGTTTTCCTAGCTTACCCCTAGCATTTAAAAATAAACTTAAATTTCCATTTTTAGCTGAGATCATGAACAAATCATTTGATTTCTCTATATAAAATGAGAAGGGACTAGATTCTTTAAGGACCTTTCCTATCTCTAAAATATTTTTCTCCAAGTATGCCTAAATTTCAGGATTGTACTTTTCTGTCTTGCACAGCCCTTGATTTGCAGTCTTTAGACAGTACATAACCTCAGGACCTTTGAACTTGTAAAAGAGACCAGACCATCTAGTCCAGAGGCTTAAATAAGAAAGAAAGAAAGAAAGAAAGAAAGAAAGAAAGAAAGAAAGAAAGAAAGAAAGGAAAAAAAAAAGTTCTTTTTCCACCTCTGAACTTCTTTTTGATGGAAAGCTGATCTGTTAGGTCCAATATGTAAGAAAGATTCTGACTTATGCTTTTTGAGAAAAACCTCAGCAGACAACCCGCTAGCTTTCTGCAAAATGTAAAGAACCAAACCCACAAAACTGAAACTTTAAAACTGACCTAACCTAACACAATTATTCAATAAATGAGAAGTGAAGACCAGAAAAGCTGAACGACTTGATCAAGGTCAGACATTACAGTTAATGGCAGGACCACAACTAGAACAGTTAACTCCTAAAGCCAATCCAAGATCAGCTTTCTTTGAAAGCACCACGTTAGGTTCTTAGTAAGATGTGTGTTTACAGTTTTTCATAGTCTGCTGAATTAGGTATTATTTATTGATAAAACCTAAATATATAA